TGATATAAAATTTAGTTATTTTTTCCATTAGTTTGTAATTTTCACGGCGTAACAGTCAATCTGTTCGTGCCGTGCTCTGCCAGTGCTCGGCATAAGATAGGGTCACTGTAGCGGTGCTGTTCTCTCTTTGCTTGCTGCGTTGTCAATGCAGTTTGGAAGATGGCGCTACACAGAAACCCGATTGTTTTCTGGGTGAACATATATTTTGAAATTTGTTCAGCTGATTTTTTTAAGAACAAATGGGACAAAAAGGAAAACCGAATATTATTATAGAGAAATACGAAAGCGTTAACTCTGTTCAAACATGAACACGTATAAATATAAGTATATGAGCTGAACATAGCAGCCACTTGAGTCAAACAACATTTGTATATACATAACATGTAAAATGACCTCCTGCGAGCGGTCACAGAATGTCTTTCATTATAAGTGATATCAGGGTAGTACTGATCTCCCTTATCGCACTTAAGAATGTTTTCCCCAAGTTGGGATAAACTAGCCACTCCGTGGGATATAATAAAAAAGATAATAATACCGATTATAAGATTTTATGAGCTCTGCACATGGCACTTTGTCAATCGAGCCATAATTTACAATCTGTTACCTAAACCATGCAAAAGAACAGTTTTTAGCACTTGTAATCTATAAGTAGGCCACTTGAGCCTCCAAATAGTATCACTTAAATTGTTTCCCACACTGCACAAAGGACTTGTGCGGAGGTCAAAATGTAGATATCCCGCTCAGGGCAAACAGATGCAGTCTCTGCAGGCCATAGATAAGAATAGAATAAAAATCACAGCAATGTTACTTGCTAAGAAATTTTATAAAATAAAAACAGTTTAAAGACTTGACATTATTTGGGCGTTCTTTTCATGTTTGGTCCTTTGAGGCACTCTGCAGTTTTCCCCCACCAGTGGTAAAAGACTCAGAGTTAAAAACTAGCTCCTTAAATTCTGTATGTACTGCAGCTAAGATAGCAATATAAAAAATCGGGGAAACCCCAACCGTGGTAAAGAACAGAGTATAACAATTTAAGCAAAAAGATACAAAAGCATCTTTTTTTTTTTAATTTAAAGCACCTTATTTAGTCTTGAAGTTGAAGGTTGCTATAGAATCCAATTTTTTTTTTTTAAATCGTGGTAAGCCGTGCTTAAGGCCATGGACATCAGCCAGTACAGGCTGGGCCATCTCGAGCTTCGGTATAGAAACACTGAATAGCTTTGACGTTTGTGAAGCGATAGAACCACCAATAAAACCAAAAAAACGTATCGAAGTGGTGACTTTGTTTATCGATGGGCGTTCAATAGCGAAAACGAAGCGTACGTATCGACGAAAGTACAGAGGCGATATCGACTGGCCGCCACGTTCGCCGGATTTGACCCCGCCGGATTTCTTTTTGTGGGGCTTTCTTAAAAGCAAAGTATACATACATAAGCAAGCCCAAGACCATGACAGAACTCAATGATTGATCGGCCGATATGCTCGAGAAAGTCATAGAAAATGCTCGAAAAAGGACACCTTTTACCATCAAGAACAAAGGTAGTGACTTAGTCGATATTGTGTTCAAGCAAACTCATATGAATTATAAAGCATCAATCTAAATAAACATAAAACATTTTCATGAATTTTTGTTTTTTTTTTTTCAAAGTTATTCAATATTTTCATACCGAAGCTCTAGATGACGCACCCTGTTCGGTTTTTGTGATAAGTGAACATTTAAAGTGCGCTACGACAAAAATTATAATAATCATATACACTAACAAATACAACAACAAATCAAAAACCCAATTAACCCATATATAAATTAATTGGTGGGCTCGCTAAAGCAACAGCATATACAGCAGCGCAACTACAGCAGCAGCATCTACAAGCAGCAACGGATACAGCATCAGTAACAATAACGTCAGCATCTACAATCAGCAGCATCTACAACCAGCAACGTCTACAGCAGCAGCAACGATAACGATAACAGCAGCATCTACAAGCAGCAGCACATACAGCGGTGTCCAAGACAACTGCAGAAACTACAGCAATGATGAATGCAGCGACAACACCAGCGACCAGCACCATATCAAGATAAAATATATTTAAGTAAATATATATATATATATATATATTATATATAGAATGGTGTCCGAGAAAATCTTGATCTGCTTTAAAGGCAGTCTGAAATAAACAAAACGTGTAGGGAAATTAGCAAAAAAGGTGTTAGAAATTTCTCAAACGAGGGTATAGAAATTATTAACGAGATAGAAAGGGAATTTTTTAATTAAGCTTGGTCCAGTAGAGCGTGAATATTTTACAAAAAAGAGGTAAGGCTAGGTATTGTCGGCTCTTAAATAAGTTGCAGAGGTTAAAAAAGAGCATAGACATTCGTTGATAGAACGTAAATTTAAGCAGCTTAGGGAATAATTAAATGAAACGTTCTTAGAAATTCAAAGTCAGAAACGAGAAACTCTGCGAATTAGGAAAATAAAATTCATTTCCTCAGGCAGGAGGAGGAGTTAAAACAAAAGTCGGAGCTTGTAGTGTAGATTTTGATTTAATCCCTATCGAGTTGGAATTTGACATTCAGAATATTTCGACTGCAATAAATAAGCAAATTAAGGAGAAAGTTGTTAGTAATTTGGAGGTGGTGGGTAAAATATAAAATTTGCCAAGCCTACCAAAAGTTGAGGTGCCCACATTTGACGGTGAAGCCAAAGAGTGGGTCATCTTACAAGAACTGTATGTCGAGTTGATACATACAAGGGAGAATCTAAGCACCTCCCTAAAATATAATTATTTAAAGTCAGCTTTAAAAGGCGAAGCGCGAAAAGTTGTCGCTCACCTATTTTTGGGTTCCGCAGAAAACTACGATGCCGCTTGGAAACTTCCAACCAAGCGGTACGAAAACAATCTTAAATTTTTCGGATCAGCCTAATCGACTGATTGAATTTTTAATTATACCCTTGCAGATGGTATAATAATTTCAGTCAGAAGTTTGCAACGCAGTGAAGGAAACATTTCCGACCCTATAAAGTATATACATTCTTGATCAGCATCACTAGCAGAGTCGATCTAGCCATGTCCGTCTATCCGTCTGTCCGTCCGTCTGTCCGTCCATTTATATGCAAACTAATCTCTTAGTTTTAAAGCTATCTGCATGAAACTTTCCCAAAAGTTGTCATTCTATTACAGGTAGTATATAAGTCGGAACGAGCCGGATCGGACGTCTATAGCATATAGCTCCCATAGGAACAATCGGCAAAATATTTGAAAAAAAATTATGACTTTGCTGTTGAAGTACAAGATTTGGAACGATTCTGGGAAGTGGAATATGATAATTAGAATGACATTGAAACTGAAATTTGTGAAAGCAATTTCATTAAAACTACCACAATTGACAATCAAGTATATTGTTAGGATTCCATTTAAGGACGATACATCCTTATGGGATTCAAAGCCATAAGCATTGACACGGCTTATTAGCATGGAGAAAATATTCCAGCGAAATGAGAAACTTATAAGCTATAAATCATTTATGGGAAAATATATTGATCTTGGACATATGGTTGAGTCGAAGAAGGAGGGAAAATATTACCTTCCTCACCAAACCGTAATTGGGAAATTTTTAATATCATAGACTAGAGTTCTAGTAGTAATAGCTGATAAGTGTAAAAATAAAGAAATTTGTAGTATAATTAGAAATGACTTCTACATGGATGATCTAAAGACAGGAGGCTATTCAGCGAAAACCCCATAAATATAATAGATCAGATTTCCAGCGTTAACCTGAATTTATGGAAATGGATTTCTAAAAAGCCAGAAATATTAAATGTTTTAGAGGATACAGGTGAAAACAAGATTATAACTATTAATGAAAATGAGTTTGCCAAAACATTGGAACTTCTTTTTGGGAACCCTAAAAAGATAATTTTAATATTAACAGTTCCTTTCACAATCTCAAAAATGTATGACCCGTTAGGATGGTTAGCCTTAGTAACCATTACAGGGAAGTTATTTGTGCAAAAACTTTGGATTTCTGAAAATAGCTGGGTTTAGGAATAATCAAATGATGATGCCCAGGAATGGTCGGATTATAAAGAAAAACTATTATTATTGGAGAAAATTAGAATACCGAGATGGATTCAAAGCAGATTAATTTCGATTATTAAACTGCCAGGCTTGCAGACGCTTCGGAAAAGTCACATGCTGCAGTGGTTATGCAAAAGTGGGGAGATTGGTTACAATAGTAGCCAGCAAAAGCAATAAATCCCATTAAAAATAAGAAAACCGTTCCGAAACTAGAGCTGTGGGCAGCTCATCTATTGAGTAAACTAATACACAAAAGAAAGGAAGCAAACTTCGGTAAGTCGAAGTTCTTATATATTGAAAACATACAAATTATGATTTACTTGCGTATTTGTTTAAAAACATTGAAGCTATGATGATTTGCTGCTGAATTATTATTATAATTATTATATACGATATCGTTTTAGGGTTTTAATAAAATTAAAAGCGTAACTCTGATTATTAATAAGTCAAAAAACTTTTTTTTTTTTAATTATAAAATAAAAAAGATAAATTAAAAAAAAATTGGTTAATACTTCCCATGGGAGCTTTATGTTATAGTCGTCCGATTTTGATAAAATTTAAACTAAAATTCTGAAATATCGAAAAACTAAAAAAAAAATTAAGAAACAGCAAACTTATAATTTGTTTTCATTTATTTTTCCGATTGCTCCTATTGAAGCTATATGCTATGGTCGTCCGATCCGGCTCCGACTTATGCACTACCTGCAATAGAAAGACAACTTTTGGAAAAGTTTCATGGAGATAGCTTTAAAACTGAAAGACAGACGGACGGACAGATGGACATGGCAAGATCGACTCTTCTAGTGATGCTGATCAAGAATATATATACTTGAAAGGGGTCAGAAACGCTGCCTTCTACCTGTTTGATATTTTTAACCATATATTAACTACGTTTCTTAATAGTTTGCATTATTTATTTATAGGAAAATCAAAACGTGCCAGTGCGTTAGTTGCAGCTGTTGAAAAGGCAACAGAAAATTTTATTCAAAAAGGTGAACAGATTGCTTATGAGAACCCAGATATCACACAAGAAATGTTAACCGCTGTGGATGAAGTAAAAAAAACGGGAGATGCGATGAGCGTTGCAGCGAGAGAATTTTCTGAAGATCCATGCAGTTCCCTAAAGCGGGGAAATATGGTGCGGGCAGCTAGAAATCTGCTATCAGCTGTTACCCGTTTGCTTATTTTAGCTGATATGGTAGATGTTCATTTGCTACTAAAATCGCTTCATATCGTCGAGGATGACTTAAATAAACTAAAAAATGCATCGAGTCAGGACGAACTTATGGATAATATGAGGGTATGTGTCTAATATGTACTTACCTATTAAAAAAATGTGTCTAATATGTACTTACCTATTTAAACTATTTCAAAATAATCGGTTTTAGATTCATTTTTTTTACCTTTTATAATTTTGGTCAGAAGTTTGTAACGCAGTGAAGGAGGCGTTTCCGACCCCATAAAGTATATATATTCTTATCCGTTTGCGAGCTCAGTTTAAAAGCTAGCGATCACAGTTCTCTCAAAACATGTGTACGCAAATCAAGTTTGAAAAGCGCCCCGATCGGACGTCTATATCCTATAGCTGCATAGATATTGACGTGCATCTTTCCAAATCATATTTTTTTACGCATACCTTGATCCCTTGATCAGCGTAATCGCGTGTGCCCATAGGAACAATAGAGCAAAATGGGTTCAAATTTTATTTTTTCACCATATTTCGCGCTGTTTATAAACTGTTTACCTGAATCTTTCCAAATCATATTTTTTAATGCATACCATGATAAGGGTGAAAGAGCGTGCCAATCGCACGTCTATATCTTTTAGCTCCCATAGGAACAATTGGGTAAAATCGGTTAAAATTGTATGTTTTTCAGGATATTTCTCACAGTATAAAAGCTACTTCGCCAAACTCTGCAAGGGTATTTAAACTTTTGCTTGCCGAAGTTAGTTTTTGTTGTCCTCGATATACCTAAGCAGATGTTACAGAGGGTCATGTATGAAGTATTTTCCTAATTTCAGGAGCAATTCCGTTAAATTTGAGACTTCGTTAAAAAATTGTTTTCTAGTTTATATTTGGAATTTGGATATTTAATGTAATAATCGGGACACTCGACTTTTATTCTGTATTCAGTTCATGTCTTTTGCACATAGAGAGCTGCGTCTTTTATTTAATGTGAATGTTGTGCGGTGTCAGCCAGGCGTCGGAAGATTTCGGGGGCAGCTGGAAGTTGCGACAAGCTGTGAGGGTGAAAAAGGAAAACAATCGGCAAACGAGGTGGAAAGAAAAAACGGCCGGCCGGGCGTTTAAGTCACCAGCTGACATTTGGAACCGAACTTAACAACTAGCTTATTCCATGTGGTGAGCGCCTTCGTACCTCTCCAAGACCCGCTGGAAGCTAGAGAGCGCGACCGTTAAGAGCGGGAGAGCGAAGGCCGCCTGAACATTCCGCATCCTTGCACCCGCTGACATTGCAACTGTTTTCAGGACTGATCGCAGACTCCGGAAAGGATCCAGCCAAACGCCGTCTAATAAGCCACTGGCAGTCCCTCGACAACCGAATGAAAACCTGTTTGGATGACATTTCTATACACATCCGCACCCAGGATCAAGGGAATCGTTGCTGGCAAGTAGAACCTCTAATCAGCAAGCTGGAGATCTTCGAACTTCTCGTCGACGCGGAGATTTTCCGTGGAAAATGGCCCCTTGTTGCGCTTAAGGAGCTCTTTAAGGTACTCATAAGTGACAATAAAAATTGTCAAAGACAATTAAAATTACACTGTAAATCATTAAAAAATAAATCAACCGAAGATCATTAAACATAACATTTAAAACATTCTCAAAAATGTAAACAAAACAAAAGCCAAACAGCTTTATTGGTTTTTGCCCGCACCTCTAATTAGCAAGCGTCGGTAGGGTATGCAGGCACCATCCGCTCGCAAAACAACAACAAAAGCTGGTTTATGTTGACGTTTTCTCAACAAGTTAAGAGCAATCGGTACTTTAAGTGACACCGACTGCGATATGCCCTGTTCCTATCTCAGTGGACTGATTTCTATTAACTCGAATACATACATATATGCAAAACATTTTACTGCTACCACTGATTGGAATTTGTAAACGAACATAACATGTATGCCAAAATTTTAAAAATATATTATAAAATATAATATTCTTATTTTTAACATAATCCCTATAGCAAATATGTACTACAATATTGTTAGGGTACCAAGTATGAAAAGTAGCAAATGACAAAATATTATTGATCCGTAGAAATAAAATAAACGCATACATGCACCCATGTATGAGAATGCATGATCACGCATACATGCTCCTCTTTGCGACTAACGACCGAACTCGTGCAATGAGTGCACGAGCATAAAAATGAGAATAAAATGAGAGAGCAAAATATCCGAATGCAGACGAAGCGCCAGGACCTGCTGCTAAGAGCCCCTGGGGCCTGTCGCTTAGAAATTTGTTCGTCCATTTTCGACGTATGAAATGAGTAGTCTATATGTTGTATGGTAAGTAATTGCGTGCAGATAATCATAAGCCTTTCAGCGGCGGAAACTTCCTGGGCCTCTAGATAGACCCCTGAAAGCGGCGAGTGATTTCTATATCGCTGGAAAAACCGATGGACACAAGCGAGGGCACGCAATGCTCTGTCTAACTTAGAAAAGCGATATAGTTTATCTTCTGTCGGAAGACGATTTTTTACTTTGATCACCAGTATGACTGCTTCGACTGCGGGTCTAGTGGAATAGGTCCAGCAATGGAGTTTCGAAGTTAGCATCGCCATGCTAGGCAGGATTGCTTCGGCCATCTCGGCAGAGCCGTAGCGCTCCACACAGCTCAAGCCTGGAAGCAAGACAGTTTTGTCTGGCGCAATACGCGTCTTGGCCAGGAGCTGGTGCACTGCGCCACTTTAGGCAAGACTCACGTGGAAGTTCATCGTCCTACCCTAACTCCCGGAACCAAATCTTTCATTAAGATCTTGGCATACACTACAAATGGAGCGAGCCAGCCTGCATGCTCAAACAGCTTGGAAATTTGGGAAATTGATAGTTGATAAATCTGGTGGAACGAAGAAAAATTCATCGGACGCCGCTTTCCAACGTACTCCGACAGTTGTTTATACTTTCAGTGTCAAACTCAGGGAAGTCTGATTCACAAAATGATCTCTTTGGATATGAGCTAGCATTTCTTTGTGGTTGGAGGTCACCTTTTTTAATGGAAAACCCGCGGAATCTACTGCATTTTGTAACTCACGAAAAATGAGCTGAACGTCCTCTGCGGAATCAGCTCCCGAAAGGACATCATGTACATACATATAATTCCGAATGACGTTGGTCGCTCTTGGACGGCTGAGCTGTACGTCAATCGCCAGCTGTTGCAGAACTTGAATCGCCAGATCTCCTCGTATACATGCAGAATTATTAGTAGGAAGAACCTCTCTCATGTGGTTGAGGTCGAGATATTCTTAAATCACGGCGTCATATTTAATTTTCTGTTGACTGTCCCTTTTTAGGCGCTGCTCGTTCCTTAGGAATTAAGACTACGCGAAGGATCTGGGGTCCCAGGGCGAACCTGACGTTCTCAGGATCACGAAACGGAAGGCTTACGATTTACCTGCCGCTATCGTCTTTCGTAGTAGTCCGGAGAAAATTATCCTCACAATTCAAACGGATGTTTTTGCCACTTTTATTGGCAGATCCTTCACCTCCTAAAAGATTGTAAAGGAAAGCGTCTAACGCGTGGGAAATACTGCCTTAAAGCAGGATCCAGAGAAGAGAGTCACAAAAGTTCGTCCGGGTGCCGCTTTGGAGGATGGATGGTAGAATTCGGCCCCGATCCGAATCTCAATTTGTGCGCTCTCGTAAATACGCTAGTGTAAGTTCAGGAAGATCCCGTAAAAAACGTTACGTTTGTTTTCGAAAAGCTCAGTTAGGTTAGCCCAAGCTGATCGAAAACCATCGTTAGTATGAGGCGCATTGGAAACTATGCTGTGTGCATCGCCACTCGTTTTGGGATTGAGGTGGATAATTTTTTCGATCGCCGTTAGCCTCGGTTGTTAATGTAAATTGCCGTAAAAAGGTCCCTAAGGTCGCACGGAGGAAGCCGACAGCCTAAAGGAATATATGTCTGGGTCGGATCAGCTTGTGTCACCTTTCGTACCACCGCACACTGGTCCCAAAGTCCAAAATTTGTGCAGTAATTAGAAAAATGAAGATATACGCTTGAAACTTGGTACAGTTAATGGTTGTTGGATATAAAAAGCCTGCGCAAAAATGGTTTGCGATCGGGCCACGCCTTCCTTACCTCCCCTTATAAACAACAAAATTACTCATACGTCCGTTTGTCAATTGATATTGCTTTCAGTTTTACATGGCTTAGATTTTAGTTTCTTATCAGAAAATAAATATTTTAAATGAAAAAATAACTAAAATAGAAAATGAGGAAAGTTTTCGGCTAGTTTTATTTATTTTTTTTATCACATATATTTATTAAATTAATCATTTTCTACATCTAAATCAAAAGAATAGTCATTAGTAAATTCAGTTGTGTCCAAGTCATCTCCATCATCATGTGCATCATCTGTATTAATATTATTATTTAAGAAATTGACATTTGGCCTGCACTTATCTTTTGCAGCGATAATTTTTTTGTAGCTCGGATAAATGTCGCAATTCCTGCATTTACTTTGCAGCCTTATGCTCATATACTGTTTTTTTGTAAAGCCGTTTTCAATTAAAAAGTCTAAGGCTTCTTCTGGAGTGAAAGGTACATGCTCTGCTTTGGAAGATACTTCCTCAACGGTCAATCGCGCCTTTTTTGCAGCCAAGTTTGCTGCATGAGCAAGAAGATTAACGTCGTTATTATTTTTAGATGAAAGATCGGCAGCTAATCTTTGCTTTAATCGGCAACTTCCTGCATCATAGTTTAGTCGTGGGCGTCCTGAATTTTTGGGGGCCTCTTCCATAAAATCAGATGGTAATAATTTGATTTTGAAACGTAATGCGAGCCAGCTTCTTCTTAAGTCTTGAAACATTCCGGTTACAATTGTTTAACCGTGTTTTTAATGCAGCAACAAAGTTTGCTATTTTCTTGTCTATTGAGTTCTTTATATGTTCCTTTAATGTTTTAATAATATGCTGCAGCACAAAATCATAAATACTTTTATTTTCACGACCATTTGCCAGCCAAACCTCTACCATTTCAGCATAGCTCAAATTGATGTTGTCTGTCAAAAAACAATATTTCATGGAATCGGGCAAAAACGGACAAAAAAAATTAGTGTA